ACTTATAGTTCCGCTTCGATTCCAATCGGAGGCCCGAAAGGCGTCCATCACTTCCTGCGAGACCTTCTCTTTGACTGAATGGGAATGCATTACATCCAGAAAGTCAGCGAAAGACAGTTTCCCTCCTTTAAGACAACAAGTCATCAATTGGTCACTCATTCACTCATTGAGCCATTCATTGCATTCATTGACACCTTTCTGTTGGAAGTATTGCTTGAGTTCTGCTTGCGTTGGACTCATTGCCAACGACCTCATGATTGTCTTCAGCTCATCCAACGAAGTGATGGATCCGTTGGAGTGAGTGATCAGATAGAAGCAGTCCCTGAACTCATCGATGTCTTCGCCACTGAAATACCGCGCCTTTCCTCCCAATCACTCGTATTAATGTCACAATCAATGCATCCGTTTATCAAATGCTTACCATTTGTTGTACACGTCGTGGATGTGTTGGATGTGTTGTGCAATGGATTCACTGTTTGTTTATTTGTTTGACAACTCATTCACTCATTGAGTCATAGCCTGACTGTAGACGTCAGTGCCCGCCAAGACGTAGTGGGCGCCCGACCAGGGCATAGGGCATATGCCCCAAATATTTGAGACGCGCCCCTCCGCCCCGTTTTTAACATTAAAACTAATTAATTAATTATTATAAGTTAAATTAAAAGTTAGTCTTTTAAAAACATTTATCTATACTACTATCATCTAATTAGTTCTAAAAATAACCACAAAATATTCTGTATTTTACTAGATTTAAAATGTCTGGTAAAGTCGTGCCCAATGCGCCCTATGTGCAACAAATACGTCTGGATATAATAATAATTGTCCCCCTTTTCACCCCTTATTACACGATGTAATATATGTGAGAAGTATCACTTGCTATTTATTGGGCCGAGCGTATTGGGCGCGGGCGGGCGTATTACTCACACGCCCGCCCAACCGTCGTTCACTATACCTGACGTCTGTGTGTTCACATGAATCACGTCTACATTTCTTTGGTTTTAAGTTAAAACTTGTAACATTCATGGCATTTGTCACTACTTGTGGTGAAATATTTGACCATGGTCATGTATGGTGGTGTATGGTAACTTATAACTTTATAAACACTGTAACACATATAAAATGACCTTGTAAATTGGTTTGCAAACAGACATGATGACCATTTGATTGGCAACCCACACTTTTACAAGCGTCACTTAATGAATTCACTTTTGATCATGTTCAAACTTTCATGCGATGTAATTGTAGCAGAATCAGTTTGCAATTCTGATTCTTATAAGTATAAAGATCATAATTTGTTAAAATTTTCAGCTTGCATATAATATTAAATGAAATCTAGTATAATACTGTTTTAATTGTTACTGATTTTAATAATCTTGAAATCCACAGTTTATTCTCATTTATGACTACATTTGTGGCACAAAATACAATTCAAATAATTACAGTATTAGCTTACGTTATACTGTACATTGAAATGGTAATCATATTTATGAATGAAAGCTAATCATTTACAATTATAGTCTATACTTTATTTGACGTAAACCATATAAAAGTATCATTAGCAAATTATAACTAAAATAAAATATAGTCATATCAATGATTTTCATATACAGTACATTGCTTAATATTTCATTGTACGGTCTATTTTTGTCTAAAAATAATATTCATATGACTGCAGTAACTATTCATCAGATTGTACTCATGTCTTAAGGAAGACTAATTTTTCCTTGATAATTTCCATATTTTATTTTTTATCCTGTTACAATCCTGTAGTTATTATCATTGTTTACTTTTACTAATTAACTAAAATATTTGCAGTACTTTAAATATGTTAGTCATCGAAGTGTTATAATAAACCACAACTAATTGAAGCTTTAACAAATGAGTTTTAAGAAATAAATTATCTGAAATACTGTACTTTCGTGTAAAACGATATGTGAACACAATACTATACTCAATTTATTAATTTTTCTTTATACTTATACTTTGTATAGTTAAATATACGTGAATTCAAAATATTGTCAAACTTATAACATAAGTCAGAAGGATAATTTACAATTAGATTTGAACCTTGTTTAAAACGCGATCACTTACTCATAAATGAAATTACTGGTACTACCGTATTATGAGTTAACTAGAAATAAGCTAATACCTGTATGTTCTCAAGTCATGATTGATTATTCAATAACAAGCTAATTTGATAATTTCATGCACCTGACAAATTCAAACTATTGATGAATAGTAAAATATTTCTATATGCATATTTTTATTTCCATGATATCAAACTAAATATATAATAGGGATGAGAACATATTCTAGTTAACCAATAAAACAAACAAAAAACAGAAAAAGTTAAATATCAAATTGTTGGATAACTTTTAGATAAACAGAAAAGTAATATAAAAAATTAAAGTTTTTGCTTCAATAACTTATTTTATTAATCAGTGAAATTATTAAATATAAAAAATTGTTAAATAACTTTAAATTGTTACCGCATAAAATATCTTTATTGAAAGAATCATAAAAATATTATAATTGTTTTACTTTATATTAACTTAATTTAAATCTATAGATTTTAAAAAATAACTAACTGTAAGAATAAATGTTCACATTTTGAATTTTACAATTATTTGAATAAAAAATGTGCTAGGCCACCATAAAGTTTACAATTATGCCATAAGAAAATATTTTCTTTATAAGAAAAGACATACCATTTAAGAGTTTAGTGTTTCAATAGTTTATTGATTATCAGTGAAAAGGCGTTAAAAAAATAAGATAATAGCCGAACGTTTTTGGTCAACACTGTGACCATCATCAGCGCTAAGATGTTATGAGATAATAGAAAAGATTGTTGTCTTAACTGATGTTTGAATGACATACTATTTGTCAATGATATAATTCAATGCTAATGAGAAAATTTGAAGGTGATATTATTATCATTATTATCATTATTATAATTATTATCAGTGATATTAATAGGCTATCATCATCATTATTTACCGGTATTCTGATAATTGAAAAATTCTAAAAGTGAATCTTGTTCATTTTTAAAACTTCATCCAACCCACTAATTAGAATTAACTTTTATCTACCGTATAATAAAATCACAATAAACCTACCTTTCCTTCCAGTGCTGTGAATTACCGAATTTTTAAAATTTTTTAATAGATAAAGAATTAAATTATGTAATTTTCAACATCATAACATTTTTTTTATTTCAATCAGTCTAGCTTATATAATTTATTAAAAGTAAATTTTATTGACATACCAGACCTTCCAG